GGGTTCTGCGAGGGTTTCGTTTTGAATGAGTTGATTGGTAACTATCCAAATAGGGGGGCTGCTGAGACAGGGCTGGGCTATAAGACAAGGGGTGCTCCTAAGAAGGGTTGGGTGACACCAGCAGCTCCAAGGGAATTGGAGCCCCGAATTGAGTTTGAAGTGGCCACAGTCCTGGACAACAACAAACTGGTATCTTGCATAACASGATGTATCAAAGGGASGCTGGACCCRGTTTCCAGCAGGTGCTGCTCCCCACCAATAGATGGAGCCTCCCCGACGGTGCTAGACGTGTCTGCTCTTATCAGCACATCTAGCATCCGATCGGGTTGTTCACAAAAAAAAAAAAAAAAAAAAAAAAAAAAAAAAAGACTATCTAGAGGGGACCCGGGCGCAAAAAGAGTTTGAAAATACACTTCGGGCAAAAAGCAGAGAAGAAGTAATTTTGCTCATGACACAGTCGTGGCATGAGCTTTGCCTGGCCGGAGAGCCTCTCCCAGCTCAGTTTTGGGCAAATGCATACAAGCTAGCTTTCTGGTCAGGTAGGGTTACACTGGGTTGTGTTGTGTTCGTGGGAATGCTGGAAGTGGAATTTCACACTGTTTTTGTGACTGTACTGAAGTTAACCCTTTCTTTTTTTTTACCATCTGGTGTGGTTGCTGGAGGTGCTGGTAAGAGCTGCCACTGCTAGCACCCCCGGGGGGCGCTCCATCTTTTGGCGGGGTCCGTGGGGAGCATCAGCTGCTGGGATAAAGGGGCCAGCATCCGCTATATGGGGCCTTCTGAGGCTGTCTGAGATTGTCTGGGCTGCAAATCTGAGGAAATAGGTCCCAACTGGTCCCTGTTTCTCAATGTACAATTGTATAAAGGGACGCTGGGCCCATTTCCCAGCAGGTGGAGCTCCCCACCAATAGATGGAACCTCCCCCAAGGAAGCTTGAAGCGTCTGCTCCTACCAGCACCTCGAAAAGGAAAATTCTATTCTGCCTGCACCAGGCCGCGTGAAATGAAACTGTGTCCACTAACCCTCTTCGCAGACTACTATTCCACTGCCGACATACCATGTCACCTGCTGGAGCATGGTCCCATTAGCAGTTGGATAGGAGTGTGGCCTATCCAGTGTGACACTGAGTGGCAGCGGGCTGACAGACTTCATTACGAATTTCTGGGCTGAGAAAACAGGAGAAAGGCAAAAGAAAAAAAAAGAAACAGAGACCTGCCACCGGAAATCACGGCAGAGTGCTTCCCAGCCATCAGATCACAAATGATCTGATGGTGGTGGTTGCAACAACAGTGAACAAAGTAACCGCCACATTTTCTGGAATAAGGCGCTGATCCCACAATACACAAAAAGAGAAAGAACAAGAAGTCCCTAAAAAGAAGGCAATGGGTCAGACGGGGTGGAAAAGCAAACTCGGACCCCACATGAACGCGATCCGCGAGTCTTTCCCAAGGACTGCGGCAGGATTTTTTGGCCTTCCACGGTGAGGACATTCCTGTGGACCACCGTATGGCCTGGCCTCCCCAAGTGGGTGACACGGCATCTGCCAACGGCCAGCAGAGAGTGGAACCTGGCCCATTTTCACCAAGGGCGGACATCGAAAAGGCCGACTCATTTTGGCGGCAGCTTTTTCGGTAGGGGTAGGGGTCCTCGAGCTTTCCATTTTGTGTAGCACCGTTGGGCCGTCCATCACGGACTTTGCGCCACGTACACGAAAATGGAAAACGTACCCCTAACAAAGCGTCGCGCCCTCCTACATCGGAAAGTTGTGGGATCCGCATTTCTCAACAAAATTCTCCAGTTTAACCACTGTCATATCAGAAGCTAAGCTCGACTTCTCTCAGCAGTGATCCTGACACCCTCCATATACTCCGTGGTTGAAGGAGGGCTCCACCCAATGAGATAATTGCACAACAGCAAGTAGAATACTGAAAATCTTCAATCCAGTGGGCCTATGGCCGACCCCACCCTCTTTAAATTTGGGGTTGGCCACACCCCCAACTGATGGAAAAGATTCTTTGCACGGGCATGCCCAGTGTTAAGGAGAGGAGGAGGGGAACAAAGATGTCCTTACTTTTTCGGGTAATAGATGTAAAATATTAACCGTGGGATCACGACTACTGCACGGCAGGATTTGGGTCACTCGACTGCCCCACAAACTCGTTTCTATCCTATCCCGTTGCTAGTGAGACCATGCTCCTGGAAAGCAAGTGCATCGTCCCTCATTCTTTTCTGTTTTTTGAAAGGCGATTATTCTGAGGACTGAGGTGGCCTGAGATTGAATGGAAATTTTTTCATACAACCCGGATGTATGCTAGGGGTGCTGGTAAGAGCAGACACCACTAGCATTCCCGGGGAGGCTCCATCTATTGGTGGGGAGCAGCACCTGCTGGAAAGCGGGTCCAGCGTCCCTGAACATTGTATCGGGGAGGTTCCATCTATTGGTGGGAAGCAGCACCTGCTGGAAAGCGGGTCCAGCGTCCCTGAACATTGTATCATTGTATCAGTTTATTTGAACAGACATATAGTTGTGATGATAGATAGCTGCAGTGCTCAACTACCAAGCACTGAAGTTAGGGGTCTCATCGAGCAGTGGTTTCCCAACCTTCACATCCGTGAAACAGATACAGGGCCTGGCTGCACTAGTACTCTCCAAATGGGCAAAATGGGAATGAATCTTCCGCTAGAACATGGAAAGATGCACTGCCATATTTTTTGTCTTCTGTGCATGTGGAGAATAGTGCAGTGAGGCCCACAGTCTACTGTTTTCCGCCTTACCGCCAACCAGCCCTCCAGCTACAACGTCAGCATGACAAACTGCCATCAAGAATCTCCCGATATCAGTGGAGGGGCTTCATTCAGGTGTCCCAAAACTGCCATGGCCACTTTCTTATCAGCCACGCTTCGCTGCTTCGTCACACCGACTGATCTTCGACTCCCCCACTAAGGGCGTCGTTAGACACTCCTTGGGGACCCGAAATCCATAAGCACGTGCTCGTTCCACCTATCCTCGGGGATGATTTGCGAAAAAAGAAGTGAAAACGGCACAAGGATACTTCCTTGTGGCGTCCTTGCGGCTCCAGCCAATTTCTCCTAATCCCCGAGGGACCTCCCTAGGTCCCTTGGAGCACAAGCAAGCGCGCCATTCGAAGCGGTGAAGGCATGCATCGACGCAGAGTTTCGGTTTGAGGGTGGTCCAGACGTGGTCCGCCCACCGGCAGCACGGACATCCATGCCCTCCACCGTCGCGACGGTACCCCAACGGCTCCAAACGGTCACCGTCCGCGTAAGGCCTCCGTCTGACGAATCGGTCGTCGCCGGTCAGTGTCATGCGGTCTGCTGCGCTGGGAGATCATCGACAACGGCCGGAAATTCGAATGCTTTTCTGCAGCGGCACTTTCTTCCACGATGGAAGTGTTTTTTGCACGATCGTCGTTTTCGTCGGTTGTCATCACGTGCTGCACGTCCAAGCACACTCTCACCTTTGCTGCCCTCGACGCCATTGTTTGGTGGAACAGCAATTTCGTCAAAACAGACATATTTTATTTTTTGAACGAAATCGAAACCTCATAAATTAGACCGATTTAGGTGGAAATTTCAAGCTCTTGAGGGTCCGGCGTCCTTAAAACGCCGGACCCCTTGGATGTATCTGGACTTAGTTGGAGTCCAAGGGGTATGGCGTTCTGAAAACGCTGTACCCCCCTGGATGTATCTGGACTTAGTTTGCATCCAGGGGGTAGGGCGTTTTCAGAACGCCGTACCCTCAGGAGCTGAAAATATAGACCTAAATCGGGCCAAGTTTTTAGTTTTCAATTTCGAAAAATAAAATATGTCCGTTTTGACGAAATTGCTGTTGTGGATGGTCGACCACTGACCTCGAGTTGCTGCCCTTTCCGCGGCCCTTACATGGCCGACCTGCAGCACAGGCTGCCTCTGCTACTCCGCATCACCGTGCTGCTTGTGATCGTTGTCTTCTTCCATGTGTGTTTCGTCAGCCGGCTCCCTGTCGCGGCTCGCAAAAGAAGGTATTTGAAGAACGGTGACAGGATGGAGCGACGAATGACCAACGACAGACCGGCAGGCACGACAACAGGATTGAGCAATCGACAATGCACTGCGGGGCCTGCGGGCAAGCAAGCATACGACCCGATTGCTGTATGCTCACCTGCCTTCGCATGAGATTCCTCTACCGCCGACGGATGACTAGTGAGAAAACATGAGGTCATCCACTGTGCCGTTGGGAAGTGGTTCCACGCAAGATTGGGCGAGGACGCAGTCCTTCGACGGCAGGCAGGCGAAGATCCCGTGGTCTTACACATCAATGCTGAATGAGGGGCTGTGTGACAACGATGTCAATGCACCGGTCGATCTTAGCTTCCAGTCGTCGAGCAACAGCGGAGCAACGGTGACACAGACCCGCGTCATCAATCCCACCCAGATGGGGATTGCGCAAAGCAGACATGGGTTGGTCCCTGCAGGCTGCGAGACGGCGTGCTACCTCAAACGCTTCGCGAGGGCAGCAGAAATCGATATGTGTGGTCGACGCAGGCCAGGGGAGGAGGCGGCGTAGATCAACGTCCGGAATGGATGTGATCATCGCCAGCGTCGAGAAGCAGATCCAAGACTTTGTAACGATAGGGGGACGCGTTCGCGGCGAGTGCGTATGTTGAGCGCAACGGCAGACAGGTGTGGGCGGAGTGCAGGCATACCTTATGTCAAGCTGGAACGGACACCATAACGAGGGGGGTGCAAGGGCTCCACGTCGATGAAGGCGATGACGCGGCAGTTCACGAGCCGTACGAGTGCGACGACGTTGATGATGACAACAATTGCAACTTCGACGATTTGCCTGAGATTCGGCCCTTTCGGAGGAAGGTGAAGAGCAGTCGTGGGAGTGCAAAGACGGGTTCCACGCAGAGGAATCAGCGGAACAAGAAAATGGGAGACGACACGTGCGGGAGCGATGGCGAGAGCGCGATAAATTTCTAGTCGGTCGGAGACATGATCGCATTGGTAAGGGCCAAAAGGGATCAATATTTGTATTGCGTGGGTATGGGGCACAATTTCGGCCGCATGAAGCACAGGGAATGAAAGTGGGAGAACGTGAGGTTGAGGTTGGAGAAGATGGGCGTGATGAAGAAGACGATCGACTATGGGAAGAAATGGGACAACTTAATGCAGCAGTTCAAGAAGGTTCACACGTTTCAGCAGCTCTCCGGCGGGAATGGCTACTTCAAGCTTGCTTCATTGGCCAGGAGATCGGAGGGCTTCAACTTCGTAATGGACCGGTGTGTGTACCACGAGATAGAGGCTCTGATGAAGGGGGATCACACAATCCACCCCAAGAATCTGGCAGACACAGGGGCGTCGGGGGGGGTTCAGATGCCAGCAGGTTCGAAGGCGGGAGGGGAATCCATGGGCAGTGAAGGCGGAGGGGAGCGCGTGTACGAAGAGCAGGGGTCGACGAAAGATTTGACATTCAGCACCTGGAGCGCTGATGGTTCCAAGAAAAGGAAGAACATGCGACAAGTAACCTTTGAGGCCATCGCCGAAGTAATGGACAAACATCGAACGCTCATGGCATGCACCATGGATACCGCTAGCAAGAGGCAATGTGCTATGATGTTACGGTAGTGCGAAATCCTTGAAAGCGAAACAAAAGTGCAGAGGAAACATTATGCTGTGGCGGATGAGGCGAACAAAATGATGTGCAACGCCCTTCTGGAGATAGCGAAAGCCATCCGTGAGAGATCATGACGAGGCCGGTGTGATATGTGGTTGTCGCTTGCCCATTCCATCTCCGGGCCCAAGCGTCGTGATTGTTGTCTCTTTTTCCCGGTGACAGAAGCTTTAGTATCATGTCTCTCCGTCCATTGTGACTGCGACGTCATAGATCTAAACGTTTCCGTAAACAGTTGCTCGCACAAACGTTTTGTGCGCGACGATTAGCAAGAGGGCTGATTATTTTTATTTTATTTTGTCGTCACTGTATCATTAGCGACTTTTTGTTTTTCTTTTAAGTTTTAACCTCTTTCATATTCGGGGGGAGTGTTTCGTGGATCTTTTGCGAGCTGCAAACTGACAGAGCCACGTGTGAAAGGGGTTATGTGGGTTGGGGATTGTGGAAGGGGGGTGGGGGGAGGGGGAGGGGGAAAGGTTGGTTGTTTTTTTCCCCTCACAATTGTATTGGCATACGTGGTCGGGGCTGTCGAAGGGCCTCTTGGAGGCTTTGGCAGAGTGGCGGTGACAACATGTGATAGGATGGATGGCTGCGCATGGGCGGTCTGGAAAGCTGTGATCGCCCGTGTCACTGTCGACGATGGCGTCAGCCAAAGAAGCGACGTTGTGGCTCGTCCATCTGCTCTGTTTTCAAAAGATATTTTATTCCCGGCCTGCATAAAGGTCGTCTGTGTGCGGCGTCTTCAGTGCAGGAACCCGCCACTGCACTTGCTACACAGCGAGCACAATCATGCGGACCGCTGTCGAGCGCATCGACTCCCGCCTTTTTGCAAAGGTGCGGGAGCCCTCCCGACCGTGTCACGCAGGAGTTTATCAAAATAAAACCGAGAGACAACTTAGGACGATGCATAAATAATCCCGCAAGCCACCAAGACGGTCGCGGTTGCGTCGTTCCGTCGCCACTCTAGCCGGGTGCGCCAGCTGTACATCTCACGGTCCCCTACGACAGGATAGGTTCTCGCGGGGCATAAGCTTTTCTTCCCTAAGGGGCTGCCACCACCCTTAGGGGCGTATCCCTACCGAGCTACTGACCCACGTGCGAAAGCTTTTAGATGCAATTGCAGAGGTAGATCAGTCGAGGGCGTTTGCTTGTTCGCTATAGTATAGATACGCTTGGTTAATGCCAAGTGGGCCCGAGCGTCGTCCGTCCCTTAGGGAGCTGATCTCCTAAGTACGAAACCGACGTCGGTCGACTAGGACGGTCCCAAGCGTGAAACCCAATTTGATCCTCGTTGCTTAGACACACAATCAAATAAAATTTATAACAACTACACATAATTACAACAAAAAGAGTCGACCGCAACCGATAAGAATGTACCTCAGATCCAAAGTAATAACTGAGAAAGTCTAAATCATCATTTGATACATTCAACCACGCAAGATAAAAAACAATCCGACCGCCTCAGATTGAAAATCACAAAACAATCATACAACCGCAAATAAAAAGTTGGTTATCGACAATAATATAGATGCAGCCGATAATGTAGTCGGTTGTCGGAGTCTCGACTTGATGAGACACGTAGCCAAAGTTTTTCATTCCGACCGACCGCCGACCTAAGATTATACACGCTCACACCTGTCTCCATACTTTCTCAGTCTTATTAGATGACAGGCTACTTTGCGAATGATTCTTGATCAGGGACATTGCTTTACGTGTTGCAAGCCTCTCCCCCTAGGAAATGGTCTGGGATACTCCTCCTCCTCGTCCGAGCACAAGACTCGGATTTCAGAAGTCGGACCGTCTCCATCGAATCGACAAAGTACCCCCGCGTAGAACGGTACACTCTGGGTCGATAGTAGGGTCGGCTCCTGAAGCAACGAACCCCCGCCCCAGATGCTTTTTAGAGATAGAAGATGTGTCCATTGCAACTAGCTTTCATATATTCTTCATTTCTCTTAAGTTTAGGGTAACTTAAACGAAAAGAATTCAGGAAAAATAAAGAATGAGAATATTTTGGACAGGTACAGGTAGATAAGGTCGTTCGGGATAGAATGGGTCAATCCTTGGCAAAAGACTACGTTCGTTTGACCTTATCTGCTTTATTTCAATCGGATTCATTCTACGACACACGCCGGATAATCTTCTTCAAAACAACACTTTCACAAGCAGGCAAGTGGAAGGTCAACAGAAGACACTCGTTTTTCATTTTCTCCAATTAGGCATAATCAATCTCCTTTAGAAACATCCTTCTACCTACCTGCACAATCAACAGAAGATTCAACCCAAAGATTCGTCCATCCCCCAACCAAAGTCAGCACCCTTTCCCACGCGCATGACGTCACACACTTACTCTGCCTTTTTCCCTGAATTCAAAGCAAGGTCATGCAAGGTGTGGGTTCACACGGGTGTGCAAGGGAAACTGAGTCACAACTTACCTTGAGTGAAGTTGAAACGGTTCACTCAAGAAAGTCAAATACTCCATCAAAAGATTGGTCACACAACTCACGTTGTGGCCATTCACAAAGATAAACCACACCCTCCTTCACCACTGACCCAGGGGCTGATTACTAAGACGGAAGCGAGCTCGTCGTCGAGAAGAGTGCCCCTACTTTGAAGTCCACACAGTCCCACTACAGTCTCAGCGGCACCTCTCCCACCAAGGATACTCCCTAACCAACCGCAAGTTCACACCACCTCCCATCACCATGTCCGCTCACAATAGCCACGCCAACATATCGGTCCCGATCACAACAATCAGTACCACCTAGTTCCAAAACGGTCCTAGATGGTCTCAATGCAGTCCCATACCATCGCCGCAATACCAGATGGTCAAAAACTCGAAACCGCTTGCACTGCGGGCCGCAAAAAAAATAAAGATGGCCTCCGGTGAAACCCTCAGGTGCCGCGAGCCCAATAATTACTGTCGCCGCGTGCAACTGCTCGACACTTTCTACATGTCGTCGATCCACGCACTACTGCCGCACAGTCTCAACCATGCACCAGCGTTAGCCCAACCTCTAGGCCACATTGAGATCCACCATAACCACTGGGCACCACAAAAATACGCAGACCACTGCTTGCTGCATCGTCAAACCCGGTACCATGGCTGCCCCGCAACACCACCGCCAGACCACACAAAAAAAAAACTGCCTCCACCATGACGCAAAAGACCCGCAGCATCTTCCCTCACAATAGTGCTGCCGACGTGCCGCCAGCATAACCAAAAAAAAAAAAACGTCGATACCACCGCCAATCTCGACAGCACGGTCCCACCGAAAAATGTTGTTGCCACCGTGTCAAAAAGCCTGCAGCACTTCCTTACTGGCAGCAACGCTGCCGCCGTGCAAAATCGGCAGCGCTTCCAGACCACTGCCGTTTAAACCAGTGCAGCCACCGCAAAAACCCGGCAGCGCTTCCGCGTCACTGCAAAAACAATCACAACCGCGCCGAAAACAAATTGGGCAGCGTTCCGGCATCACTGTCAAAATTCAACATTGTCGCCGAAAAAATTCGGCAGCGCTCCCGCAACACTGCCAAAACCCATTGCTGCCACCGTGCAAAACAGGCTGAGGCTCCCGTGCACCGCTTGCCGAACACCTCCTGCTGCCCTGCAAAATGGGTAGAGCCTCCCCTGCACCACAACAAAAATAGTTGTCACCGCCTCGCTGTGCAGGCAGCACCTTCCCTGCACTTCAACTAATGAAGTGGTGGCTATGGCAGCCTCCACTCCCTGCTCACTGCAGTCCTCCACTCCACCAGCAACACCTCCACCGGCAGCATGCAATAGCCAACCAGCATTCACAGAAGTGAATGCCCCAGCAGCACTGCAGCAAGTGTGAGGCTGCTGGGTGGAGTGTTGGCTCTTATAGCCAGCTGAAAGCATGTGGGCAACTGCCTTGCCCACAACCAAAAAAAAAAACGTAGCTGTTCTGAGCCCTTGATCCGGACCCACGATCAAGGGCCAGAATCCTTGATGTTCCCCTAGGGGAACTAGGGTCTTCAGTTCCTAGAAGTATTTGGCCATTTTCCGGGCCACATACTTCTAGAAATGTTTGTACTCAGCCATTCCCTGCAGTCTGTTAAAAAACAAACAGGTGCAGTCACGTAGAACCTTCTACCCCTGCACCTAATCCACGGTCGCGGCCACGTACGTGGCCGTTACTTTTCTTTCCCTTCCTTTCTTACTTTTTTTTTTTCCTTTCCTTTTACCCCCTCATTTCTCTGTGCAGGGGGCAACTCGTTTTCGAAAACGAGCAGCCACACCCTCTCAAGTCATTTCACAGAGACGAAATAGAGTCAAGCTCAACAGGGTCTTGTTTCCCCCAACCTGCGTCCGTATCTGGGCCGCATAGGCGCCCGATACAGGCGCACGACCCATGACCACTCTCTCTCTCTCTCTCTCTCTCTCTCTCTCTCTCTCTCTCTCTCTCTCTCTCTGTGCAGTTGCAGTTGTCGCCAACGTCCAGTTGCGAAAAACCCTCTGAAACGACTGTGCAGAGAGTCCCTCGTAACCCAAGTACAAAGTCCCAAAACTCGTGCCTGAACCAAACTGCGTTCACGCGCTAGATTCATTCGATTTTGCTCATCCTAACATCAGTGGGAGCCCGTTCGTCAAAAAGGAACGGGCATTTACTAAATTCACGATTCAAAAAAGATTAAAAAAAAGAATCTAAAAAGAAAATCCAAAAGAAAATCTAAAAAGAATCTACAAGAAAAAATCAAATAATAATCTAAAAAAAAAAAAAAAAAACGAAAGAACTTACCTGATTGCCAACAGCCGCCCGTTTTTTAGGGCGTCGTCAGGTGCACTGGGCTGAGAAGTCCAGTCACTTCAGACAGTGCCACTTGGCATTCAGAGTTTAGCTTTATTTATTTTTATTTATTTATTTTTTTCTCGGTTGTCCTAGCCAATTGTCTCATCGTGATCTCGTGGCTTATAGCCACGAGCAATCAAAATACAGGCCTTGGTTCGAATCCAAATGGATTCGAAAAAA